AAACACTGGGTTCTCTTTGTGTAATCGGCACGCAATTTTATACGCCGTCTGCGGGCATGCCCGTGTTGATGCACGAATGTGTATTTTTGCCGTTGCTGCTTTCGCGGTCAATGTAATATTGCAGACGCACCCCTACAATTACGAGGCGAATTGGAATGGTCCAGAAAAACGCGTTGTTTGGAATAGCAGTGGGGTTCAAAAAAGTTCATGCAGATACGGGGTGGTTTTTATAAGTGGTTCCAGATGTTTTTGCCCATGGTTAAGAGATGCCAAGTTTTTTGGAAGATGTTCGCAGCCAAAACGCATTCTTCCGTACGTCGCATTTCTGTGTAATTTCGCATGTGGTGTGGCATTATGTCCGGGATGATGCACGTCTTTTTATTTTTACCGTAGCTGTTTTGATATTGAAGTAAATGCATATTTTAGAAACATCCCTACTTTTACAATCCTGTGGAATAGGCCGTAGGTTTAGGCAGTTGTCTGGTAGCAGAGGTACTATAAGCAGATATCCTGGTTATCTGGCTGGCGGTAGTAACACTCGCGGTGCTTACCGCAACTGTTGCTGGAATTTGGCGTGTTCCAGGCGCGCTTAATTAGGTACAGGCACGGTAAGACGGTGGGGCTATCTTTGTTACTAGACACGACCATGATAGTCCGATCTTTATGTGAATGCAATGATTGTGTGTGTGTAATTAAAATGAACTTCGAACTTGAAGCACAGTATCTTTACACGCCCTGGGAGCAGTAATGGATTTAGCTCTTTGTATGTTTTATGCTTGTGACGCGCCCTCATTGTATTAACCGTTGCCTAATTATAATGTCTGCACAGTAGGTCTGGCGTTGACGCTTGGGATTTTGTTGAAATATATAAAACTTCACGGAGGATTGTCACCTATGGCTTCTTGTTACTATTATTATTATAATAGGAACGATGGCTGATCGGCGAGCTGAAATTCTCCTCGCCGAAATGCCATCATTAACGGGGGGGGGGGCTAATTCCGACCTACCCCTAATTCCTGACGAGTTAGTTGTTGTTGCGAACTTAGGCATGGATTCATGTGCATATGAATACCCAAAGAAATGGAGGAAGTTTTGTGTTGATAATGGAAATCTCACAAAGTTTGTTTTAGTTCGTACGCTCCGACAACAGACGAGTGAAAAATCTGTTTGAATTCGACGCTTGTTCAAGGGTTGACGAGCTCGTCAAAAATACAGCTACAGGTTTTGCTTCAGTTTGAAACAGCTGCAGCCACTTTGGAATACACAGCTGTGCAGCTTTAATCGTTATGATCTTTATCTGTCAATATTATAGCTCATGTTGCGCGGGTTTTTGGTCAGACAAACTATTACCAAAGGTGCCCGTTTGCATGGAACATAGGTCGGAATTAGGACCCCTCCCGTTAACGTTAACACCTTACTCTTTTCACACTTCAAGAAGCACACCTATATCATTATATGTCGTGGGTAACACAACAGGAATGGGGGTAGTGGGGTGAGGGAGAGAGAGAGAGAGAGAGGAAGATAGTAAAGGAGAGAGAAGGAAGGAGGGGGATGGAGAGAGAATTCACCCCCATGAAACTCCTTCCTCTTCGCCCCGCCGTTCTGCTTCGCCCCGCCCGTTCTGCTTCGCCCCGCAAAAATCTGCTTCGCCCCCGTCGTTCCTCTACGCCCCCGGCGCAATTCTGCTTTGCCCCCGTCCTTCTGCTTAGCCCCCAATGGCGGCACAGCTCACAGTCGACACGAAAATCGTCTGCAAAATAACATTAAAGGCTGTGCCGCCAAATTTAAAGTAGCCCATGCTCCGGCAAACATTCTGGACCACCTTTCTGCCAAGTGGCGTTGCACAAATCCTTCCCATTCAAAAGTTTACCCCTGCCTCACGGCCCGTCAGTGGTTCTTACGTTTATAAGTACTGGCGTTTATAAGTACAGCCGTGAGTGAAATTTCCCGCCAGTACTTATAAACGTAAGAACCACTGACGGGCCGTGAGGTAGGGGTAAACTTTTGAATGGGAA